GATGCAAAAAATTATTTGAAGAGTAAGAGACAACGGGGAATGTTATATGGAGAAGTCGGTTGCTTAATAAAATACTTTCAACGGCATTTAATCGAGAACTCATCATTTTTTCATGCATACTAAATGGATGCTGAGGAACAAATCACAAAAATTTTTTTGGACAGATGCAAAGATGGTCATTGATTACGGGTGTTTTGGTGAAGTCATATCATTAGACACTACATATTGCACCAACCGAGCTAATAGACCTCTAGCCTTGTTTTCAGGATTTAATCATTATCGAGGTGTTGTTATTTTTGGGGCAGCCTTGTTGTATGATGAGACAGCCGAATCATTTAAGTGGTTGTTTGAGACCTTCTTGGAAGCACACAATCAAAAAAATTTTACAGACCAAGATCAAGCAATGGCCAAGGCAATTGTTCAAGTAATGCCTCACACACATCATGCTTTATGCACATGACATTTAATGCAAAATGGCATAAAACACCTTGGCAATTTGATGAAAGGAGAAAGTCATTTTCTAAGAGATTTGAAAAAATGCATGTATGACTATGATTCTTCAATTGAGTTTGAGGAGGCTTGGAGAAGGTTCATAACAGAATACAATGTTGAACAAAATTCTTAGATTACTTCACTTTATTCCATAAAAGAGAAATGAGCATCATGTTATCTTAAGGGTGTGTTCACCCTTGGAATGCGAAGTACTCAATTAAGTGAAGGTTTAAACTCTGATTTTAAGGCATGTATGAAACCTGGTGTTGACATAAAACAATTCTTTGCTCACTTTGAACGAGTTGTTGAAGATAAGCGTTACAATAAGTTGAAGCATGAGTATGACTCCCGCCACAAGCTAGCTATGTTGCAGTATGAGGTGTCACAAATCTTAATACAAATGACCAAGGTTTACACACATACAATATTTAACTTATTCCAACAACAGTTTGCTCAATTCTTAGCTTGTAACATATCCCAAAGGTTTGAAACTCCTCCTCTAATTGAATATGTGATTACTAAAGTCCATCAACAAAGATCATGGACGGTTACTTTTGAACCTTCCTCAAGCAAAATATATTGCTCTTGTAAGAAGTTTGAAACATTTAGCATACTTTGCTGTTATGCATTGAAAGTGTTTGAAGCCAATGATGTGAAGGTTATTCCTGATAAATACATACTTAAGAGATGGACAACACAAGGTAGTAGTGAGATTATTCACAATGTCAAAGGAAAAGAGGTAGAAGGAGATCCTAAACTTAATACCACACGCCGATACCGTAATCTAGCATGTAAAATGATTAGGTTGGCCTCCGACGTTTCTAGTTCAGAAGAATATTATCAGCTAGTTGATGATAGTATTAACAACTTAATCAGCAAAATCACAAAACTTCGATTGCAAACAAACAGTCTAATGGATAAAGATAAAAATGATGCAGAATTTATGGCCAATAATGATGGTACACAACCTAAGGGATTCAAGCGACGACCAAGCAGTAAGATGAAAGGGAGTAAACGTTTCAAAAGTTGGGTTGAGCTACAAGTAAAGAGAAAGAAGAGTAGAACTCCAATTTTAGATCAATCAACATCTCAGGTTCTTTTATGTAATGATTTTGAATACCAGTAAAAATAATTCAATTAACTTCCATATTATAACCATATAATATAATAATATGGGTGTTAATATGTTATAGGAATATCAACCAGTGGTTTATGATCTAGTTGAAGTACATTGTTCGACACCTCCATGTTATGATTCCCCTCACACATTACTTAATCAATTAAATTTTACAGATTTGTTGAGAGTAATAATTTTAACCTTAATTTTTACATTGTCTAATCATTGATGGTGGTTCCTAATATCTCTTCTTATTTTGTAGGAACAACTTCATGATACCAATGATTCAATTCTGGATGATATTTGATTGGAATGAAATGGAATGGAATCATCGGCTTCTTTTGTTTTTGACTTGTCTATGTAGTAGTGAATTCTTTTTGGGTAAACTTTATTGTGAACATTTGTGTACCATTAATGGAGTGGAATGAAATGAAATATTTATCCATGTTTTGCTGCCACATTTAACTGTTTCTGGATGAGTGGAATTGACTTTAACAACAAAATTTGCAAACTTTTACCTTTTGAGAACATGCTGTCAGTTTTTGCATAATTTTTGCTTTTTCTGCATAATTCGCTTAAGCCCTTATTTTCGCTTAAGCCATTTTCAATTCGCTGCAAAATCACAGAGTAGGCTTAAGCCAATGAGCCATTCGCTTAAGCGGATCCTTATTAGCTTAAGCGAATTATAGTCCTGTGAATCAGTGCTCTCTATCCCAGATTCGCTTTATTTTAATAAAATTCACTTGCATTCGCTTTAAGCGAATAACACTTCCGTTTAAGCGATTTAAACAACGCTTAAGCGAGTAACCAGCACAAAATTTATGTTTCTCTGTCCCAAATTCGCTTAAAATTACAGATTTTCGCTTGGGCAGGGTCAAGCGATTCAAGATTCGCTTAAGCCATTTTTTGTCGCTTAAGCGAGAATTTGCCAACCTCGCTTGAACTTGCTTTAAAGCGTGAATCTCATAATTGCTGCGCTGCTTAAGCCAAAAATCCCGCTTAAGCGAGAAATCACTCAAAATTTACTTAAACCGTTTCACATTCTTTTAAATGAATATAAACATGAAGCTTATATTTCCGTTAGAACATGAGAGGATTCTGATCCCTACATGTTCTGGATTGAAACAAAAACAATTATGGTTTGTCTGTGCAGTATATCTTTAAGTGTTATAGATAATCTGCAAGAAGACTGCCAAATTTTGTTGAAACCATTTTTGTCTTTAGCAAAAGAATCACTTCCCTTTTTGTTCAATAATGGTATGGACAATATAGTGTAGAAGAAATGAACGACTTTTTAACAGTAGGAGATGGAACATGGACAAGACATTGCAAAAAGCAAAGTTCTGACCCGCTTGATCAACGGAAGCATAACTCTTGTTCACAAGAAAGTATTGCACCAGCTTTATCTAACATGAGATAATATTGAGATGAATGAATGAAAAGCAGGTTAGGTGATTGTTTGGTGCACCAATAAAATTTGTGGGACCAATAGCAGATGTTAAATTGGTGGAAGCACTAGCTTTGAGACATGCAATAACGTTTGCATATGACTTATCAGAAAAATTAATGTCATGTGCAGTGGTTTGCTGATCATTTCACCAAAGTGACCAAACTTATCTTCTGAGTGGAGGAAGCCCCTATTTCTGTTTTCTCCCTTTTAATGACGCACTGTAATGGCGATTACCAACTCTTTTCCTTAATAATATTTTACCAATATAAAATAATAATAATAATAACAAAATGTATTACTATAATAGATTGATAATTATGTGAGACATATTATATTAAATGAGAATTTCTCTTTATGGAATTATTTGACATTTCTTATAGGAAGCAATGTCTTCAGTTTAATGACGAAAATGAAGTTGCCGGTGGTTAGGTACCTACTTTGTTTTTCGTATAATTTCGTTCTATTTTTATTCCAAGTAATTTCCCCTCACTTTTTTACTATTACTATGATTTGCTCACATCCACGTACGGGTAGGGTGATTGCTTGCTGAGGTGATTGTAATGACATGACCACTCATGCAGTTTTATTTTATTTTATTTATTTATTTTTCATATTTAATTTAATTCAAATTTAATCTAAATCGCATTTAAATGATTCTATTAATGAAGATTTTTTATTTACACAAAATTTTAAACTCAAAAACTTATTTAAATAATATTAAGCTACCTTTTTTCATGCAGTTTTATTTTATACTGCATGAATCTTAGCTATTAAATAATATAATTCTATGTTAAAAATATTAAAGTAAACATTAGTTTGAAAAATATCAACTCATGAGATTATGCACTGCACGGGGTACAGTTGTTTAAGATCTTCAGGTGATCCTTTCGATAGTAACCTGTTCCATATTGTCCTCTATCAACAATTTGTAGAAAAAAAAGGTTTTAATAAAAGGAGATTAAGAATTTTATTACAAAATAATGATATTAATATTGTATACCGAATTTTGTTTTTTGCAAATTTGAGATGATAATAGATTTTTTAATACTTTCAAATTATCTGGCAAATAAAAAATGCATTATTATAAAATTTAATAGATAAAACATAACTTTTTTATTTTTTAAAAAATAAAATAAAATATTGATAGTTAAAATTTGAAAGGTGTAAAAAAATTATTACTGTTTGAATTACTAAATTATAGAATAACATTTAAAAGTTTCATAAAAAAATAGCAAAAAAATATGGTTACAAAAAATAGAAAATAAAATAAATAACATTGCTAAACTTAAGCTAATATCAAAATAGTATAAAGTAAAAAAAAATACCAGTACATAGTTGTAAAGATTAGATGTAACGATGAAATTATTTTTAAAAATATAGGTGACGAATGTTACAAGTTTAAAATATAATTCGTAATATTAATCACTCGTTGTGTGAGATTTTATCAATTTTTTTTTAATAAAATGAATTCTAGAACCCATAATGTAGTGATCGTAAATTATTTATTAACCTTAATTAAAATATAACATTTTTTTAATTATTTTTTTTTGCTAAACAAAGTGTCATCATAAAAGAATAATGACTCACGTATGTTAAAATCACCCGAAAGCGATCATAAATTGTAAATTTTCTTTGCAATGCCATAACCATAAAGCCTGTTGTTTATCTTCCCAAACAACTGAATGATCAATCCTATAATCACCTTCGTAGTCAACTTTAAAAAGCTTATTTTCTATCATATTCACCCTTTATAAGCATATTTGTGAAGGAACTTGTGATTCCATCTACTATTTTCGATCAACGAAAGGAAGAACCTGTCTGAACACATTAATTCACTGTTTTACCTTGTGTAAATTTATAATCATTTTTAAATTAGTTATTTTATTTTCTTAAAATATATTAAAAGTGAGAATAATTGAAGTAATATAAATAAATAAATGAGGCATGAAAACCATAAGAAAAAAATCATATTTATGTAGTTTTAAAAGAAAACCATAAGAAAAAACCTCCACTAAGAGTCTGAAACACAAGAATACATAAAAAGGAGGGATGAAACAACTTCTGAAACAAGATGAAAGATAATTAATACTATTTCCAAACTAAGCTCTACGCTAGATACTTATGTACAACATCACTTGAACTACACTTATGCTTCAATCATTTCTCGAATAGAGGTTCTATCTATCTTAATTGAAGATATATCAGTGAATTCTGATAAGATTGCTCTGAATTCATCCCCACTAAGAGTCTCCTTTTCAAGTAACACGTCCACTAATTTATCAATTGCATCACGGTTATTCCTTATGTGATTCTTTGCAATTTCATATGCTGCCTCTATTATCCGCCTCACTGAGTGGTCAATGTCCTCAGCTAGTTTCTCTGACATTGAGTTCCTAGCTAGCATTCTTAGCACTACATCACTACTTTGCACTGATGGGTCAGTTAATGCCCATGGTCCAATCTCAGACATGCCAAAAACTGTTACCATCTGTTGCAAAAAAATATGTATCAACTTTTCAGTGCATATTTTAGTTTCAAGATTGCTAACTATGCATCTAAATTTATTTCAACTTTACTAGTGAGAACTTCTATTTTAGATTTACGTTTACTGACTTTTTAATGCGAATTCAAACGCACTTAATTTTTCTTCTCATCTCATGAAAATAAGAAAAATTATGGTTTTGATATTCTAACCTGTCTTGCTATTTGTGTAATTTGTTGCAAGTCCCCAGCAGCTCCAGTGGTTATCTCAGTTTCACCAAATATAACTTCTTCAGCTGCTCTACCCCCTAAGCCTCCAACTATTCTAGCAAATAATTGGTTCTTAGATGTAAGAGATGGATCTTCACCTGGTATGAACCAGGTTAAGCCCCGGGCTTGCCCTCTGGGAACTAGAGTAACTTTCTGTACTGGATCATGCCCTGGGGTCAGTGTCCTGCAAAGTGCACACATTAAGTTAACCATTTTTCTAGCCTGTCAAATATTGCACATAATAAGAATTAATATGTTTCTATTGAAAATTACAAAATTTAATACAACTTAATGCGCATGTTAGACAAATTGTTATGTTAGACTTTAAAGACAAGAGATTGAAATGTTGTACAATGTGAAGTAGTTACTAATTTCACTCACAAAATTGTTCTAAGGGCATGTTTAACTGTTTTCATTTGTTGTTTTTATAAGTGATTACAAAACTTGTTTGTATTGTTTTAATTGTTTTCTGTACAAATATTTGAAAATAGAAAACAAAGTATAAATAAGAAAGAAATTTTGTAATTATTTATAAAGATAGGAAATGAATATAGAAAAAATTTCTCAAACTAAGCATGCCTTGATTTTTTCTATCAACATAACGAAGGGTTTGATGTACTTACGCACAAACAGCATGTCCAACTTCATGATAAGCGACCAGAATTTTGCTCTTGCCATCAGTCATCTTTGTCCCTTCCATGCCTGCTACAATGCGATCTATGGAATCATCAATTTCTTTCATTGTGATCTTATCTTTCCCCCTACGACCGGCTAGAATAGCGGCTTCATTCATGAGGTTTGCAAGGTCTGCACCACTGAACCCTGGAGTTCTCATGGCAATGACACTAAGAGAGATATCCTTATCAAGCTTCTTGTTGTTACTATGAACTTTCAATATGTCTTCTCTCCCTCTTATATCAGGTAATGCAACAGTGACCTATTGGAACAATCACAAAGCCCTTCATCTATTTCTTTACAATGCATGGCTTCAACTTCAATTAGTAAGTTTCTCATGACATTACATGGGTATTTTTAAATTTAAGTGAAATATAAACATATACAATCTGTAAAATTATCATTATCACTACAGTTTTCCTAATGTATGTCCATGAGCACATGTTAAGAAGCATTAAATACATTCTATTAAATGTTTTAAATTATCATAAAAAGTATGTGTTGAATGTTATTTTTTCATTTCTAATAAAAACTTTATATTTTTAACTTCTTAACATGGTTCATGTGCATATATAAGAAAAACCGTTATTCCTGACTAATGATGAATCAATCTTGAAAAAGGAGAAAGTATAATAGTAAATGTTTTTGTCATCACAGTATACAGAAATTGATATAAAGGATTTGAAGTAGTTTACCTGTCTATCAAACCTTCCAGGTCTAAGCAATGCTGAGTCAAGAATTTCTGGTCTGTTAGTGGCAGCAATGACTATAACACCAGTGTTTCCAGTGAAACCATCCATTTCAGTGAGCAACTGATTCAGTGTTTGTTCTCTTTCATCATTCCCTCCACCTATACCTGTACCTCTCTGTCTCCCTACAGCATCTATCTCATCAATGAATATCAAACAAGGTGAGTTCTGTTTGGCCTTGTTAAACAAATCCCTCACCCTTGAAGCCCCTACACCCACAAACATCTCAATGAACTCTGAGCCAGATAGAGAAAAGAAAGGAACCCCAGCTTCTCCTGCAATGGCCTTTGCTAGCAGTGTCTTTCCAGTCCCAGGTGGCCCTATCAAAAGAACCCCTTTGGGAATTTTGGCTCCAACAGCAGAAAACTTCTCTGGGGTCTTCAAGAACTCAACAATCTCTTGAAAATCTTGCTTGGCTTCATCAACTCCAGCTACATCCTCAAATGTAACTCCTGTGTTTGGTTCCATCTGAAATTTTGCCTTACTCCTAAAGTTAAGATCATGAAACGAAATCATGTCAAGGATGTTACTCAATATAACTTTGCAGCTATTGAAGTGTCATGTACTAGAAAAATTTTTTAGCGATCAAGGAGTATGCAATCCTATTAAAATAATGATACTTGGCAATAAATGTTAACCTTTTAATTGCTTAATGTGACTCTGAATATTATCCAGTGAACAATAATAAATTAAAAAATCAGTTATGAATTGCATGAATGAATTTTTTTTTACATGTACTCATATTGTTAAAATCATACCTTCCTAGTCCAAAGGGTAAGTTGGGGCCACCACCAGGATTATTAATAGATGTCCTCAAGAGTAGAGAACCAAGCAATAACAAAGGAAAGGCCAAATTCCCCAACAAATCAAGTATTGCAGGCCACATACTAATTTCCATGGGATAAGCAGCAAAATCAACATTTTTTTCTTTCATTTTCCTGATCAACTCCTGAGGCAGCCCAGGTAACTGAATTTTAACTCTTTGGATTTTTTCCAAGGTTGGATTGTATATCTCTGCAATAGCAACTGTGCCATTCTTAAAGAGATCCACCTTTTGGACAACACCTTCATCCAAGTACTGCAAGAACCTTGAGTATGACATTCTACTTGAGGTGGAAGCAGCAGGGCTCTCTGGCTCAGCCCTTGTGGGCCTAGCAACAGAGAGCCCAACCCAAGTTGGGCCCAACCCAATAACAGTAGATGATAATAGCTTCCTCTTGCTGATTTTGTTATCTAACACAGATTGTGGACATGGCTTCTTTTTGTTGTTGGCCTTAGAAAGATCTTGAGGCTTACAAATCAAATTAGGGGACACTGAAAAACATAGTGCATTAGACATTTTATAACTGCAAATGGTGTCACAGTCTCACCAAATTAGAATTTAGTATGTAGTGAGGAAGTATTATTATAAGGGTCTTGTTGTGTTGCACCTTTTCGTCAGTGGCTTGTGTAGTGTGCAAGAATTGATTTGGTGGGAAGGAGCAAAGTTTGCTTTAAAAGAGAGGAGGAAATGGGAAGCTTCTGGTACTTTAATTTGGAGTTTTGTTTTATTAAGGTTTTTGTTCTCTTGTCCTTTTTTTTATTCACGAAGGGTCTACTATGTTCCTAAATCTTTGGCTCCTTTGTTGACCCTTCTTTGTTGTTTAGAAATGGTAAAATCGATGGATACAGTTGTCTCACGCAAAAAGTGAACGTAGAAGGATGAAGATGGATGTAGAAGATATCAACTAGGTTTCCCTTATGATCATATAATTCATAACCACACACTTGGAAGAAGTTGAAGTGGTAGTGTGGATTGTTTGGACTTATCATAAACCCCAAAATTGTTTCGTGAATCCTAGGCTCAAGTTTTGCCAAATCAGGGGACATGATTTGACTTGGCTTTTTCTAGAGACTGAATTTGGCATGCTAAAATATTTTGGGCTGCTCCCATATTTATTTACTTGAAACACTTTTATGTGACATTAAGAAACTTTCTTCCACTTTATTTTTTGTGATATTTACATAAAATTCACTTTATTAAGATTTCTTTTATTTCCATTCATTATAGTCAAATTCCAAACTGAGTAAAGAAAAAAACAGCACTCTTTACCACTTAAACCAACATTATTTATGTGACACTAATACAACTTAAATTTTGTTCTTTCTATTGATTTTCTCTTATATGTTTTTATTTTTATTTTCCTTAAAACTGTTATTTTGAGAGAAAATGATATTTTAATTAGGGGGGGGGGGGGGAATTTTGTCAATAAGATATTTATATAAAAAAACGAGCCTATATTTATAATTTACTTTAAACTGTTCTTTCTATTGACAGCATCAATGTTAGGTATGCGCCATTTAAAGAAAATCCATCTTCAGTGTCCTGGTATTGTAAATTACTGAATGCATGATAAATAATAATTAGTCATGGCCATCGTATAGATTTCTAGATCCAAAAGTGTTGGCACATAAAATGAGGCTTAAAAGTCCAGAGAAATTTGCACGAATGGATTAAGAGCAAATCATGCAAATGGATTTAGAAATCACACCCAATCCAAAATTTTAAGGCTATTAAGCTGTGCATTTTTGTCACTTATATGTTACTTAATTTCTCCATTCCCACGCCAAATTTAGAACTTCTTCACTCGTAGATACAACAATTATGGAGCAGAGTAGTTAGAGAGAGACCATTTCAACTTTAAACTAGATTTATAACAAAGAAAAAAAATTAAGAACCCTGAAATGTAGATGAACATCTTTGATTGAAAGTAAAAACAAATAGTGACTAATGACAAGGAAAAAAAAAGGGGTAGACCGAATTCAGCACAATTCATATTTTTATTTGAAAGTTTTTGCATTGAAGCGAGTACTATCAAAAGTAGTTTCAATTACAATCAATTGAAAATTATGCATTTTGCTGAATTCTATGGACGTTTGGAGTATTTACGAACACTTCTTCTGAAGTCTTTATCCCTAAAATCTATCTCGTCGAGTTCCCAGCCATGATTGCAAGTTATTTGTGATATGCCTTAATATTTCATATTATAAACTAAAATACTTCTCTACCTAAGGAAAGTTGACATATGACACTGCCTTCAGCCCACAATGGATAATGGAAAAAATTAGTAAGGGGAAAAACGTAGAAAGCTTTTGTCAGCCCAATTGTTTTTTGGTCAACACTACTGTGAGCCCAATTAGCAACCCAAATCGTTACGAGGCAGCCCAATTGAACGGCCCAGAAGGAGCATTAGAGAACCGCAATTATGTTGAACCGAATTCAAAATAAAGGAAAACGTGCCAAGCTTCTTGCCTGTGCGGTCCATCACAAGCTCTTTACAATGATTCGGAATTGCAAATTACATTCTTATCAAGTATGCTGCTTGATATGCGTCTAAGAATGGCTTAGTTTTTTCTCAGTATTCACTGTTTTAGAGACTTAACATGAAAACTGAACTAATTTTGCAACAAGAAGACGGAGTGTTTGACAATGAACTAATGTCAGATCCTGGTGTGTGCTAACATCCTAGAAATTATGTAAAAATAAATTCAGCACCGAGTAGAATTCATTTGAAATTTGAAAGCAACTACAACTATCAGTTAACCATCTTCAAGTGAAGCTTCAATCCATCAAGCAGATGATAGACAGGCATCAAATCAGGGCGAGAATCATACCCCGCAAAGAACCTATACATTGAGCCACCTAAATCAACACAACTCTCTCCAGCCATCTTCTTCATCCCTCCATCTCTCATCACTCGCCTCACATTTGCCGCTTCTTCCCACATCCCTACTTCAGCATACATGTTAGCAACAATAACCAAATTCCCTCCCCTCCTTGGCTCCATCTGAAGCAACCTCTTCCTTACTCTTTCCCCTATCCCTGTATGGTCATGAACATCATGAACAGTGCATGCACTGAGCAGTGTCCTCCACACAACTGGATCAGGCTCAATAGGTATGCTCTGTATGTAGTCATATGCTTCTCTAAGAAGGCCAGCACGGCCCAAGATATCAACCATGGCTCCATAATGCATCATCATGGGTTTGATTCCATGGACACATTCCATATCATGTAAATACTGGTAACCCTCATCAACCAGTCCAGCATGGCTGCAAGCACATAAAACCCCTAGATAGGTTACATAATTGGGGCATATATCATGGTCATCATTCATCATGGAAAACACTGCAAGGGCTTCCTCAGCAAACCCATGTTGGGCTAACCCCAATATCATTGCACTCCATGTCCACACATTCCTCTCTTCCATTCTCTTAAACACAAGCGTGGCATAACCCAAAGCTCCAGACTTTGCATACATGTCAACAAGAGCAGTACCCAATTGACAATTCAGAACCATCCCTCTCAAAACCAATTGAGAATGAACCCAATTTCCCAGGGTCAAGTACCCCAACTCTGCACAAACAGAGAGCAACAACACCATAGTAGTCTCATCAGGCTCAAACCCACAACCTCTCATCCTCAAAAAATACTCAATCCCATCCCGCAACCAAACATTTTCAACACAAGCAGTCATAACAGAATTCCAAGAAACAATACTTCTTTCAGGCATTTCATCAAACTTCTTCTTTGCATACAGAATTTTCTTGCAACCGCCATAGAAGTTGATCAAATTGTTACCAACATAAACATCAGAATCCAAACCCCACTTAACAGCATCAGCATGCACCTGCATGCCTTCACCAAGTGCAGAAGCCATAGCACAACATTTGAGGAGAAAAGGGAAGGTGAGTTTGTTGGGCATAGCGCCTCCTTCTCGCATTTTCCGAAATACCCAGAAGGCTTCAATGGGAGAATCGGTTGTGGCGTAACCCCTGATGAGAATGTTCCACGAAATGGGTGATGGGTTGGAGGAGTGGTAAACGAGCGCGCGAGCGTGGCAGAGGTTCTTGAAGAGAGAGAGGGAACAGAGGTAAACGAGTTCTGAGAGCAAGTAAGTGTCTTTGTAGAGACCAAAGAGGTGAATCTGTGATTGGATTTGATAGAGTTGTTTGATGGAACAACACGAGTTTAGCAGAGAGAGACATTGATGCTTCTTCGAGAGGTACTTTGTGTTCGCTATTGAGAACCTAACCATGCATTCACCCGCCTTCTCCAGTTTCAAGTGTCATCACATGTGATTGAGAAATTATATATATGTGTAATTTTTATTATAAAGGTTAAATTAGTATTTCGCATAAATGAAGTAATAGTGTATGAGTTTAATATTTAAAGCCCAGCAAAATATTTATTTATATTTATATTTGTTAACTTTTATTTTTATTTTTATCACATTTATTTATTTTTATCTTTCTTTTAATTCATTTATGTCATACTTCAGTCATTTTATGTGAAGAGATGATTTTTCTTAAGTGTCTATTTTGTGTTTTGCATATAAAATTGGATGTTAGAATTAAAATTAGAGTTCAAAATTTTAATTACCATGTTTGACTATTTATTTAAAATTAAAATTATAATTCTGTAAACTAATTCTATAAAATTCTATAACACCTAAATTAATCTACTTCAATTCCTAACCTATACTTTAGGAATTTAAATTTTTAATATCATAATTTATAAATACATTATCTGATTGAATTGAAATTACAATTTTGAATATTAATTCTAATTTCATGCATAAAACAAGCTCTAAATGATATTTGCATGAACAGTATAGTTGAACGCATGAGATTGCAACTAAATATATATTAAAATATAAGCTGACCGATACTATTTAGTGCATTCATCGTGATCGGATTCCTTCAATGCATGACAGAGACAATATATTCATGTTTATTTAAATTTTTTCTGAATGATTGTTCTTCAAATATTCAATATCCCCTTGTCCAACTCTTGTCATGATATTTTTGCTTCCAAAATCACAATTATGGGTTGTTTAAGATTTCATTTATTTTATGTGTGTGTGTGCTTCTCTTCATGATTTGTTGAATAAAATTCGATATATAATGTTATTTTGTTCCTTTTTATTCGATGAAATGTTTTATTTACGTGTTCAGGATCAATCTGAGCACGATTTTGATTTTTCCATGCCTTCCCAATGAGTCAAGACAATGCTGATGTTACCTCTTCTTTCTCTTCTTGGTGCCTTCCTTGGTGACTCTTACTTGGGAAGGCACATTACCTGTGCCATCTCTTACTGGGGAAGGTATATTACCTGTGCCATGTATCTTGTTCTTTTAAGCTATATTTATTGCACCTTTTGTTTCCCTCAATAAAATAAAGCAAAACGAAAAGCACATGCACACACGTAAACAAGCATATGCTTATTATTAAAAAAAAGAAAAGAAAAAGAAAAGAAGAAGCATATAGTGATCTAACATCAGCAAACATGTGTATATATTCTTCCTCAAAGAAATATAATAAGACAAACATAGATATCTAATTACACTTTTAATTGTTATTTGTTTTTAGTTTAAGACTATTAACTCCGTATATTTAACCTTACATCACTCAATAATCTGTGAGAAGCGGAAAAAGTAAGTCTTATTGTTTCTATTATTATATATTTATATATAATATATAAAATTTGAGATACAAGTTATAATATTTACGTCTTAACTATATTCAACAACTTAATTTTTTGTCACATATGTTTTTACTCTTTTTTTATAAGGTAATTTTTTTAATTATTAATCCTTATTATAAGATATTTTAATTTTTTATAAAATATTTATTATTTGTGTTTTCAATTTTCCCATAACAAATAGAGATAAGAGAAACCTAAACAACAAAAAATTATTAACAATAAAGTTAAATTTAATGATAATAAATAAAGATAAATTTATTATATTATAATATTTTAAAAGATAACTAACTTTAATTGTGTTTATTAAAACATATATATATATATATATATATATATATATATATGTCTTATTAAAAAATAAAAAAAACAACAAATTTATTACTAGAACTCAGTTTGAGTAAAGTTTTAGAAAAGTCTTTATAAAAAAAGGTTTCAGTATAGAATAAAACTTTTCACATGCATTAGAAATAATTTAAATATTTTTTTTTATCTTTGATAATTTCTGAAAAAAAATTTGTTTAATCTTTTTAAACTTTTACGAAAATAAATTATTATATTTTATAAAAAGAAGGTTTATTAAAAAAATTTATCCCAACTAGACTGGACATCACATTTTAATTAACTTAACCTTTTTTTTTTTTTCTTTTTCACCCACTAAGTCATATATTCCCTTCTTTCGACATGCATCCATCCCTATCGTTCAAGGCATGACAATAGGATGTGGCGGGGTAGAGATTTTCACTTCCAACACTGCCCTGTCAAAGATGGAGGCAGGATTAAGATTGAATTTAGAGAGGTGGAATGAAAATAAATCATATAGTAACTATATTCTAACTATTATTATGACAAATTATTTTAATAGTAAATTGTCATTTATATTTTCAATAATTATGAGAAATGCGATTGTGGAAACAAAATCTTATATAAAACCATAACTTGAACTCAATCAAAGTAAAATTTTATTTTATTTTTGGTCAAAGTTAAGTCACGGTAAAATGCGTATTCATGGGTTTGATTTAATTATCATCCCTAGTTAAACACTGTTAATTGATTACTCTTAAACCTCATTCTCCTTCATGAATTTGATATATTATCATGTAGAGTGCTTTTGCAATTAAATTGCCAACATAATCGCAATTAATTCTCTTAATCTCCCTTTTGTTATCGATCAACAATTTCCCTTTTCTTATATAAACATTTAAAGATATAAACTTTTTGCTTATTTAAATTTTCTCACCAATTTTGTCCTTTAACTTCTTTAAATTAATTTGCACAATCATATTCAGTTAAGTTATTTTCTAGGCAATATTGCTTTTAATCGTAAAACATCTTATGATCATTTTAAAAATTATATATAATTATTGTTAGAGTCTTCTTAATTATTATTTTTTAATATTAAAATAACTAGTTAAAGAATAAAAAAAACAAAAAATGTTTAAATGCATATATAATATTTTTAATGATTTATTTTTTTTAACCATAGAATAGTTGTTAGCATTTGTCCTATCTTCAATATAAGATTTTAAATAGAAAATTATAATTACATTTATATATCCTTTTTACTTTTTTAATACATCTAGTAATCTTTGAGATACGAGAATTAATGTTGTAAGTGCAGGGTCTGGGATCATTACCGTGTGAATCACATCCATCATATCAAAGAACATTATTCTATGTTTCCATATATACCTAATAGCCTTAGGAAATGGAGGATATCAACCGAACATTGCTACATATATTTGGGGCTGATCAGTTTGAAGAAGGATATCCTGAAAAATATTAGGTAAAACTATAAAGATTCCATTCATCATACATAAAACACGTTATAACACACATTATAACATCTCTATATAATTCTAACAATATATATAATTAATATACACCAAATTTATTTTTCTTAATTTATGATCTTTCAAAGAATTGTGATATAAACCTTTAATTAAATCTAGTCATGCGATAATCAAGCAGATTTATTTACTAGGGATTTTTTATTATATAATTTGAAAAACATGTCTACAATATTAGACTTGGTCAACTCAAATATCACCGGTTATGTTATATGTATTGCACTCTTTAAAATAAAAAGATTAGACTTAAATTTGAATGAATTAAATTTAATTTTTCTATAACTTGATTTGATCAAGTTAGATGCGAGATAAGTCTACAAAAACTTCAAAATAAAATTTAACTTATAACTTTTCAAGTTTATCACCCACAATTGACTAATCCAAATGAATTAGGTAGTATGTTTTTGTCAATTCCATTATTATCATAAAATGGTCAATTCATTTACAAAGCAAAATATAACTAACTAATTACTTGCACTAGCATGGGTATGATTCTTCCATAATAATTTGAGAGATATGCAGTACATTCTTATGAAAATACCATAGTTAAGAAATAAAATAAAGTAAACCACTTATTATTGGTTATAATTATTCTTTTAATATGGATTATTGATACTCCAATCTTCTCTATAGATTTAATATGTTCAAGGAGTTATATATTTTTTTCAAACTCCTTTTTAAACATTGTCTGCGTACCTTTCTATGTGTTTCTCTTCCATTTTAATTATATGTCTACGAACTTTCCAATCAAATATTTAAGATAAATGCTAAGTTGATAACTAGAGTATTACTCAGAGTGTCAAAGATACTCTATATATCCTTTGGTAAACGGCTCCACTAGCACCACAATAAGATAAACTCCACCATAAAAATTTAGACCGCATGTGCTCGAGAAGTTTACACATTTACGGATTCTACTTACCTAACTCCATTTAGAAATTTTGGCTTTTCCTATGCACGTAATCAAATTTAATTGAAGTTTAACACATTTTATTTTTCTAATTAAACTTACTGGCGTAGTCTAATCGTGTTTATCCATGATAGTGGAAACCACAAAATCTGCTTGAAAATTCTTAAAATGCTGAGTCAGATCTCCGCAAAATGGTAAGCAAAACATATCAACTGCTGATTAATTTCTTTAGTTTGGGATCATTCCAAAATCTTAAGCACCCCTTTAATTTGGTAAGAAAAATGCACCGTTTAGAAATATAACAGGCAAGCCAAATAAATATGGCCTTGCTAACTAAGTGTTTTTAAGAGTGTCTTAAATAATTATTTTTGATTTATGAATTAGTACTAATAACACTAATTAGTATTTTTCAATGAATATTAGGAATATCTAAGTCATAATTTAATTTCTATAAGAAATGAACTGAAACCCTCAAAATCTGCTAGAAAGTTTCCAAAATGCTTAGTCAGGTCAATATTTATTTATCCGCAGAATGATAACAATATCAGTTCTGTATATTTATTTCTTTAGTTTGTGTACGTTGCACAATCTTAAGGGACACTTAAGCCAAATAGCAAAGGGGATTAACACAAGATAATTTTTCTAATTCAACTCGATCACTGGCGTAATATACCTGTGTGCTTATCCAAGAGCACGTGAAAAGCCACAAAATCAGCTTGAAAATTTTACATTGATGAGTCAGGTATCGGCAAAATGATAAGCGGAAAGATATCAGCTTCTGCTTATTGGTTTAATCTTCTATAGTTTGTGCGC